GTAGTTATTTTTCAAAAGGATCTGTAATATCAAGTTCATGCCTGACTGGTCTAAAAGAGAGGCTTGTTTGACTAAAAGCTTATCTAATTTAGTGATGAGCTGTAAGCTGACCTACACGCCCCTGTGACGAGAGAGAGCCAAGGGATTTCCTTTCCTTTTCCACCATCAAGATGGACAATGTTCGGCCCCCTCTTCAGGCCCAGGGAGACCGCAGCGCTCCCTCACTGGCATTGTGGTATATTGTGGGTAATCTGAGATGGCACCAATAATTAATGGTTACGTGGGGCATGGCATCTGACCAGTCTGAGCAGAAGATGCCGTTTTTAAGGGCCCCCTCTGCAGGGTCACCGGCCTGCCGCCTTCCATTTACGTTAATTGCATCTCATCACTCCATGACGGCCCGAAGAGAATATAGCTTACTGAATACTGATCAGTGTAAGTGGAACATTATGCATTATGCATTTTAATTTCTGGTTCAATTATATATTTAATAGCTAGAGTTTGTGTGTATGAGTATCTATGTCTATCTGTCTGTCTATCTATCTATCTTTCTTTCTGTCTGTCTGTCTGTCTATCTATCTTTCTATCTATCTCTATCTGTCTTTCTGTCTGTGTTTTTCTATCTATCTATCTATCTATCTATCTATCTATCTATCTATCTATCTATCTATCTATCTATCTATCTATCTATCGTCTGTCTTTCTATCTGTCTATATCTATCTATCTTTCTTTCTGTCTGTCTGTCTGTCTGTCTGTCTGTCTGTCTATCTATCTTTCTATCTATCTATCTCTCTCTATCTATCTATCTATCTATCTGTCTGTTTTTCTCTATCTATCTATCTATCTATCTATCTATCTATCTATCTATCTATCTATCTATCTATCTTTCGCACTATCTCTCTGTCTGTCTGTCTGTCTGTCTGTCTGTCTGTCTGTCTGTCTGTTGGTTGGCCGAGCCTTTCTATGATCAAATTAGCTTGTGATATATTTTGTATTAATGCAGATTTTGTGCATTGCAAATGGAGATTATATCACAAACAACAATAAACTATTTAAACAATACTATTCTACATCATTGTCAATAAATATGGTTATTTCGTGTGTTCTTTTCTATTTGGGCTACATTTATTTTAATTGTACATATTTTAATATATCCTTAATCATTTATATATGATTAAAATACAGTGTATTCATTTTAATATCATGTTTAATATAATTTTTAAATAGTTCAATTTTCTTAATTCAGTTCATTTGTCACACTGAACATAAAGTCAAGTGCATTGCATTATGATTCTGTGGACAGAAATAGAAAGAGTTATATGTTATTAAAGATCAAGTGGAGAAGTGTGAGTTAGTAGGTTGTTCCCACGCTGTATGAGACTCTCACCGTGATGGGTTTTCAGAACCACCTTGAAAAAAGTGTATTAATGCTTTAAATTTCCTCATCTATAGATCGCCTCACATTCCTTCAACATTCTGCGCAGCACCTGTGTCCTTGTGGATCTTATTGTCTCATTTAAGAGAGATGAAGAGATGCATGGAGAGATGGAGTAACCCTCAGTTGAGCTAATCCAGGGCCTCTAAAGAGGTTTAAACTGCTCTGGTTACATCTAATCTTTTTGCTCAGACCCAGCTGAGCCTGAAACCTCTTCTCCATGATCGAAACGTACAAATAAAGGTCTCTCTCTCACCCGGTGCAAGTATGAAAGGCGGCTATGTGCTCTGTGGATTAGAGTGGACTTTCCCCCTCCCGGTTTCTCAATTAGAGAAAGGATGAAATAGAGGAGGGAAACAAAAAAGACCTGAACTGTTTGCCGAGTAGCTGCTCTATACCGAGCAGGGGGACTTTTCAGAGGGTTTGTGTCATTTTTAGGCAGTATCATCATAGTCATTTTCACTTGGTACTCCAAAGAAAAACATGACCATGATGCCATAATAGTAAAATCAGAAAGATTCTTAAAGCTTCTCAAATTGTTTGGAGGAGAGCGCTCATTTATTTATTATGATTTTCACATCCTTAAAGGGATAGTTCACCCAAAAATAAAAATTCTGTCATCATTTACTCAAGTTGTTCCAAACCTGTATGAATATCTTTCTTCTGCTTAACACAAAAGAAGATATTCTGAAGAATGTCGGTAACCAGACAGTTGATGGACCCCATTGACTTCCACATTTTTCCATAGGTCTACAATGGAAGTCAATCAGGCCCATCAACTGTTTGGTTACCGACATTCTTCAGAATATCTTCTTTTGTGTTCAGCAGAGGAAATTCATACAGGTTTGGAAAATTTGAGGGTGAGTAAATTATCATTTGTTTGGGTGAATGAATCATCAGTATTGTTGATCACTGTCATGGAAAGCAATGAAACAAAGAAAAATGGTAACACTTTACTTGAAGCGGTGTGCATAAGACTGACATGACACCTTCATAATCATAACATGACACATGTCATGAATATGAAGAAGGTTTTATGCATGTTTATGACAACTGTCATTAAGTGTCATTTGCTCAATTATGACATTTTGAATGCAAATATGACATTGTTTGAGATGTCTTTGTTATGACAACTTGACATAAACCAATACATCATAACCTGTCAGTGTCTTGGTAATGACAACTTGACATTACCAAGACAACATAAATTGTCATAAATATGTCATAAACATGACGTAGCAGATTAATTAAACTTAAGAAACCACTTAGCTTTATGGGTTACCATTACATTAAACTGTCATGTGGTTGGTTTTGACATTGGCTGTCATGAGGCCATTATAACTGTTTCATGAATATTTTTCTTGACCTCAACTACAGTGGTACAAATTGAATTTGTCATTAAAATGTTATAATGGCCTCATGACAGCCAATGTCAAAACCAACTTCCTGATAGTTTAATGTAATGTTAACCCATAAAGCTAAGTGGTTTCTTAAGTTTGATAATTAGTCTGCTATGTCATGTTTATGACATATTTATGACAGGTTGTGTTGTCTGATAGTGTCAAGTTGTTATGATAAAGACATGGGTTATGATGTATTGGTTTTAGTGCTGGGCAACGATTAAAAAATGTAATCGCGATTAATCGCATGATTTTCTTGCGATTAATCGAGATTAATCGCATTGTTACGCGCACAATTGAATAATGAATTCTAAAGTAGTGTATTGCGCACTTTTGATTTAAATGTACTGCTACAAAAGTGCAATAACATGTGGTTTGCAAAAACTTTAAACAAATAAGGTGCTTTTATACCAGCAGTATTCCCTTTACACAGTATCAATAAAATATTTCTTGTAAATCTCACCTTAAACATTAATGTAATCAAATCAAATATTTAAACAAAGCTATTTGCCACTGCCAGGGCATTACCTTTTATCTAGCTTGTTAAAAGAGTCCAGTTTTCTTGTTGTTGTTTTTTCTGAACAGGTATCTTGTATCAGGGAGCAGCAGAAACAGTCTATGTAGTCAAAGGGTCATGATCACTACTACAGAAATAAGTCGACCAACGTTACTTCTCTGATAGCAGCTTAGGTTTGGTCATGGCATGCCATGGTTTCCCATGTAAGATTACATTAAACAGAGGTAAAGCCAATTTATACTTCTGCGTCGAACTCACGCCGTAGCTGTGTAGCGCGCGTACCCTGACGTGCATCTCTCCAAAAATGTAACGTCAATTCTACGCATACCGCAAGCGCTGTGATTGCTAGAACCGCTCCCCGGGTTTCACACTCTCCCTCTGCATGTGTAATTGCGCGTCAACGCGGACAACGACGCAGATATATAAATGAAAACCAACGCGTGGTCTATAGCGTAGAGGCTCCGGCGTAGGTCCGACGCAGAAGTATAAAGCAGCCTAGAGTGAGGTGAAGTGGTCGAGCACAGGTGCAGCGACAAGCGGGTGCGTTCCTGTAACTGTTGCGGTCATGCTCGCCTCACGCTCGCGCCCGCGCGTTGCCGAAGTTGAATTGTCTAACTTTTTGTACACGACGCGCAGCACAAATCATTGGAAGAGAGACTGATCCTCGGCTCGCTGTTTGTGAGTTTCCAGAATCTAAATAGTTATCAGGACATCAACAGGAGGGAATTCACATTGCAGAGCATCCCCGCTAAACTAAACGCAGGCCTATCAGGTAAAGTTATGTATAATTTTAATTTAAGTTAAAAAGGCTACAGCTGCGTAGCGCACAGAAGCCGGTGCCATGGTTACTATCCATAGAGCGCCTGTCATTCACTCGCGGAGCGCTGTCTCCCTTTCTGTTCACCTGAGAGAACCTGCCAAAGCCTCTCCACTGCTTGTTTGGGTGGGTTATTTGCTGGCTGACCAACATCCCACCCCTCCTGTGATCATGGTTTGACTGTAGGCCTATGTGTATTCAGAGCCAGTGAGCAACGGACTTTCAAAATAAAAAAAATAAAAAAACTGCGTTAACGCGCGATAAAAAAATTGTCGGCATTAATTAATAAATGCGTTAACGCGATAATAACGCGTTAACTTGCCCAGCACTAATTGGTTTATGTCAAGGTGTTACCAAGACATCTCAAACAATGTAATATTTGCATTAAAATGTCATGATTATGAAGGTGTCATGTCAGTCTTATACACACCCCTTCAAGTAAAGTGTTACCCCAAAAATATTTTTAAAATAAATAAATAATCGAAACGTCAGAAAGATTTTTAAAATATTCTCACACTGTTAGATGATCTTCCAACCAGGAAATTGCTAATTTGTTATCAGCCACCACTGTCAAATAAATATCCGAAATAAATAAACAAACTTGTCTAATTGTCATTTTCCAGTCAATAAACAATTGATAATGAACATTTTGGTGGATGTTAATTTTTATTTTAAATACCAGAGTAATTAGTAATTGTTATGTAATGGGCCTACTGTTTTTCATGCTTTTGCGAAAGAAAGCAAATGAGAAAGAGAGACTCCTCCTTTTACTTGTTGGTTTGTAAGGTTAATAAATAAGATTAAACTTTTTTTTTCTTCAGGCAATGCTGAAGACAGCTCTCCTCCGCTACGGGGCTTTTCATGTTCGCTGTCGCATGTTCTGATTCCATTCGTCGCACGTGGGAGTCCGCCGTTTATACAGGTACCGTGTTTACATTCCTATAACGGATTGCGCAATATTTGTTTGAGCTTTTACTGGTGATTCCGTGTAAAATAATCGCACGCGGATATATGTTGTTACTTCGCGCGCTGTTTTGTGCTTATCAATGCTTTATTCGGATGTGTTTATGCGATAATGTGTGCAGTGAGAGCATGTTTCTGCGTGTAAAGAAGCTGTCAGTCGTTTATCACTCACAGCTGTCAACACTGAATGCTTCACTCATCCACTACAGTCATGCTGTCAGACTCAGCAGCGATCTTTTGTCTGGACTGTAGGGTTCGGACAGTTACAAGCTATAACTGCATCTAAATTACACTAATATGGGATTAAGTTACTATTTATGTCTGATTCGTGGTAAACTTGGCTTAACGCATGAAAGTCATTGCATTTATATTGCATTCATATTGCATTCAATCTAACGTTACTGAAATATCAAACTGGCATTTCAATATTTGCTTTTTTTTTTTTTTTTGCTTTACAAAAACACTTTGTATGCTTACATTTTTCGACCCTTTCTGTTTGTCTAATGTAAATAGAACCTGTCTATTCTTAGATTTCTAGTAGTTATTGTAATAAACACACCTGTGATTACGCCGCTAGGACAATCGTGTGAACTTGATGGAAACTGACTAGTGAGTGACTAACGTTATAAGATCAAATGTGACAGTAAAAAAAGGTATAATGTTACAAAAATATTTGTAAAATAAATACTGTTCTTTTGAGTTTTCAATGCATCAGTGAATCCTGAAAAAAATATTAAACATCACAACTTCGATGATAATAATGTTTCTTGAGCACTAAATCAGCATATTAGAATGATTTCTGAAGGATCATGTGACTGATCCTTGTGATGCTGAAAATTCAGCAAAAATTCTAATTACATTTTAAGATGTAGGCTATTCAAATAGAAAACTGTTATTTTAAATTGTAATGATATTTACTATGTTATTGTTCTTGATCAAATAAATGTAGCCTTGGGGATATAAGAGACTTCTTTCAAAAACCAAGAAATCATAGCGACTTATATATAATATATACAGTCTATGTACTATGGTGCTCTAAAACAGATTTCAGTGAGCTCGACTAATGTAGTCACTAAAATGGTATATATAGATATGCTCCTTTAAACCACTACAAAAGGCACAATTTTTATTCTGTCCACTGCAAAACCAAACACACTATTGTGATAGGCAGTAAACATTGACTAGGGTGTGTGTGATGCATGTTGTTAGTTATAAGAAATGCATAATTTGTTTGCAGATTCCATGTGGTTTAAGATTTTGTATCCAATGCAATACAGTTTAAGTGTGACTTAAGCAAGTGCACATGAACCTGTCTGTCTAGTAAACCTCAGTATCACTCAATACATCATTGCAAGGAAGCAGGTGATAATGTCCACAGATAAACATGTTACCTGCAGGTCTCTTTGGTAATCAGCTCTAAAGCCCCTTAAGTCCGGGTGCAAAGACAAAGTGGCCACCATCACTTCCCTCACACGCAGCTATGCATTCAGCCCTTATCTGTGTCAGCCTCCGCGTGGCATTCACGCCATGGGCAGGAACAATGAGGCCTGTCGCTCGCCTCCGTCAGCATGAGTGACAGTGGGTGTGGAAGCACTTGTGTCTGACTTCAGCTCTCTATCTTCCACAGAGCTGTTTTTCCAGTCCAGATACTCCCCCCTTCCCTCCGCTTTCCTTTACCGATGCACGGCAGCACAATAAAGGGTGTGTGTGTGTGTACCCCGCACTTCCTCCTCTGTTTGTTTAACTGAGCTTTAGAATGGACCTGCCGGCCCGTTTGCCACATTTGTTTCCTCCGCTGGAGAATTTGACTTTTTTTGGCACAAGGGGGGTCGAAAGAAATGCTGACTAATGAGTATGTGGGTGTTGGGCTCGGTGAAGTGGAAATGTCAATGAAGTCCAAAATAAGAATGAAGAAAAGAATGACTAATATCCGAGGTATGATATCATTAAAACCAGGGAGTAGAGGCCACAGCTCCAGCACACAGCCATCAAAGTCATTCGACTCCCTTTATGTTCTTTTTATTATGATTCATTGAGGTTTTATCTCTCTCACACACACAAATTGGATTACATTCAAACATTTGATAACATTCCCAAACTAGATTTTTAAATTGTGACTGGTGCCTGTCTGTGAAATGGTTGTTGGTGGTTTCCAGGGTATTGGTATTCATTTGCTAAAGTTCTCTGAGTGGTTGTTAGCATGTTGCTATGTGTTTGCTTACTGACTGGAACTTTTTTTTTTAGGATAAATGAACCCTATGCATTGCACAACGAATTTTAAAATTATAATATGCTTACTGAACAACTCGTATTTACTTGGATTGTAACCCTAATCAAAACTTTACTAGCGAGACGCTGGTTTGCTTTAGCAGAGAAACGCGGTTTGCGTATCATCTAGCCATACGGTGGAATGTCTTGATGTTTCGTTCAGTCTGTAGCGTGATGTGTGAGGGCTTGCGCTCTTGAGGTCATGTTTTAAAGCGAAACACTCACTGGAATGAATAATTCACTTAAAACGTGAGTCTCTGTTCTCTCTGCCATCTTTGATGTAGTCAGCCTGTTTTTCTTTACATTAGTGCTGTTTTGGACTGATTGTTTGAATGAATTCTCTTACTGGATCATTGGACTGAAAACTTTCCCGGAGTTTAGCGTCTTAAAATGATCTGTTCAGTTCTCTTGGATCAAAAAAGAAAATGATATATTTACTTCACTTAGCGTTCACACTGACATTTTTAAAGTGCCCCTTTTATGCTTTTTCAGACATTACCTGTCATGCCATGAGTAATATAGCAGTTTGTGAATGTAGAAGCTCTACAAAGTCAAAGTGCACAATAAATGGAGTTATTGTCTCCCAAAAGAAAAAAAGAAAGAAAAACGGCCTGAAATGAGTCGTCAGTAATTCCAGCCTTACTTCCTGCACAACCCTACGTAGGTTTGTAACAAGTGTGCATAATGCCAATCTAGGGTCTTCATTGGCTGCCTGCAAACAACCTCTACTTTGACATGCACTAGTTGTAGCTGAGGCTTGGAACGGTTTGGTTCCTATTGTCGACATGTCAAGAAGACGCGGTTTTCTGCACTGCGAAAGCAAATCCAATTTGCATGCACATCCAAAAGATGGGGACTCCGGCACTGGGTGCTTCTCAATACTCAAATAGATGTTTCCTCGCTCCTCCGTCCTCCAGCACTTGACCAGGAAACCGATCTTAAGGACAGCCATCTTAAGGACATCTCAATTCTCTATTTTGCACCACGACTCGGAGGCGAGGAACGAGGAGTGAGGAAGCTTCCCGAGGAGCTATGAGCGAGGAAGCACAGCTGTATCCTATATAGAAGTCTTTCTTGTCGAGGAACATGACGCACGCATCTGTCTCAATAATTTTATTTTATGCTTTACCTTTGCAGTTTAAATAAATCATATATCAACAGGGTATCTTGCTTTAACTTTATTATTTATTAATTTCTTAAATAACCATACTTTAACAACATAAGGGCATCCTTTGAGCGCAGCTGATGATGCTGTGAAGTGACGCTCGAGTGATCAAGAATATTCCAATTTACAAATAAGCTTAACTTCGATTCCTCCGTCCTCTTTTTCTTTCCTTGCAGCCTTTTTAGAGTTAGGTGTGCACCAAGGTTCAGATGGCAGCATTCACACCAATTCAAACGAACTGCAATTGCACCTTTCGTTTTAATTAAATCAGATCTGCAAAGTGTGAACACTCCTTAAGCCTACATGAATTTTGCCTGGTGGACAGTAAAACAAATGAAAAAGCCCTAAGTCTGTTTAGATGAGTAATAGCACAATCTTTTTGGCCTTTTGCCACGTTTTTATTTACAGGGAAGAAAAAAGAGAACAAGAAATAATAATGCTAGAACTGAACTTGTGCACCTCCTGTGTGTGTGCACTGCACACCTCAATGCACCAACCACAAGGACACAGCTCCTGAAAATCAAACGCAAGGTTATAAGCCTTTTCAGACTTTTTTTTTTTTTTAAGTTTCCCATAATGCTTTGTCACAGCAGCGCTTTAAAGATGGCATCCACCTTCTCCACGAGGGCAGCAGTAATCACGTTCTGTATTCCCACAATCTGCAGGATCTTAGTTGGGCTTATTTATGAATGGCAGCATATGACAGTGGTTTGGGCAGAGGTGTGTGGCTGCCCATCACTGAATCCACTGATTCCACAGAGAGAGGAATGCGGACCGCCTATCCTCGATCTTTGAAGCCCACATTAAAATGACTGCTGCTCCCCCTCCTCCGGTATAAGTCGCAGCGCAGGGGGCGCAGATAGAGCCTGTGTTTGATCTGAAGGTCGCCAGCCCTTTGCCTGTGTTGAGAGATACCTGGCTGACGTGGCTGCTTCTTATTTAATAACATGAAGGGGAAGCGAACTCTCTCTCATAATTAGGCCTAATTACCAAGCAGGTGTTGACAGACGGCCCACGAAGAGACAAACTGCCTTTATCCAGAGTCTTAGAGTCAGATTACTGGAGCTGTCTTATCTGTTACACCAAGAGAGCTGAAAAACGCTCTCTTCTTTCCTCCCATCAGAAACAGGCCTTCTCATTTCATATCTGCTTTTGCTTGTACATTTAATTACAGATCCTAATAATTATGCACAATATTGACATTCATAGTTATGATTCAATGATCGTCGTGACTCATAATCATGGCTTTGCTGTCAGATGTGATCATAAGATTATATCACTGTTGAGGGAAATATCTGGCGTGAGGTAATTTTTATTTTATTTTGGATGGATATCAAAAATGCAGTAAAAAGTGCTTCAGATATCATTATATTATGCTGATTTGGCGCTCAAAAAACATTTCCTGTTGTTATTATTAATGTTGAAAACAGTAGTGGTATCTAATATTTTCCAATTGAACATTCAAAGGAACAGCATCTATTTGAAATGCAGATCTTTTTGTGAATGTCTTTACTGTCACATTTGATCAATTTAATGTATACTTGCTAAATAAGTGTTCAATGAAGTAGTCTTCTCTTAATAGTCTACTGGTAAGTGCTGTGGTTGACCAATATGGGGTTTTTATTGGCCGATTCAGATATCTAGAGAGCATAGATAGATAGATACCCCCCCCCTAATAATTATGCATTCTGCTCTCCTCTGTCTCTATCCTCTATCTATGAAATAATGGTCTTTCTTGACTCTTTGGCCTAGTTCCTCAGCCTGTTTTTTCCACTCCATCCATATCTTTTTCTCTCTATCTCTGACTGACAGCACCGTATGGCAGAGGTATGTTTTGATGCGTCGTGTTTTCACAACGAAAATATGCGTTTCCAGACCCGTGTGTCAGTGAACTTCACAATACGGGCATGTTAATCCTCTTTAAACCTATGAAAACCTCACTGTCATATGGACGATCGTCCGATAGTGCATTCCTCCAGTTTTTTTTTTTGTGTTTTTTTGGTTGGGGGAGGGGTGTTATTAAAGTTTAAGGTGGCCATATTATCCTATTTTAAATTCTTAATTTTATTTTGGAGGCCTTCTACAATCGATTTCCATGCATCCCATGCAAGGTCAAAAAACACTTTAATTTTCTCATAATATAGTCTACATAACCTCATTTCTCAAAGAGTCTTAAAATGGTTTGTTTGAAAATTCAGTCTCTCTAAACCCCTCCTTTCGGCGAGGCTACTCTGCTCTGATTGGTCAGACAGCCCAGTCTATTGTGATTGGTCTACAGCTCACAGCATGTGTTGGAAAGGAAACTAGTATTACCATATCTGAATTTTAGGCTTCCTCGTATACACATGCACGTCGTTTTTTCCGTTTCAATTCCAGCGAGAATCCTCATTGGTTTTGAAATGCCTGCAAAGTGCATGTCGACAACACAAATCAAACTTTTCCAAACTACTACAGTGTTTGAGAGTGGGTCAAAGTTTACGACGTTGGCAGGCAGCCAATGAAGACCATTATGCAAATTTGTTACATTTTTGTGTAGGTATGTAACAGGAAGCTAGACTGGAATTGCTGACAAGACAACAACAGTTTCAACAGTTTAGAATTGGTTCTTTCTTTTAGGAGACAATACAATCATTTGTCGTACAAATTGATCTAACTTTGCAGACATTTTCACATACAGCTATATTACACACTGCATGATATTCAAAAGGTAATATTCAAAAAAGCGTAAAGAAAAGGAAAACCGTACTACTTGTTTTCTTTTACTCTCTAATCTTTTTGAATGTCAGGATTTTTTTTAAGGCAAACTGCTATTGCTAGAAGCTAGTTTAAGATGTATTAGTATTCCTCACTTACCCACACTCTAAAAAAAAAAGGTTCTTCAGGGGTTCTTTGCGGTGGTCATGGTGCTATATAGCACCACTACCATTTAAAGAACCTATTAAGCCCAATTTGGTTCTTCAGCGGTTCTTCAGTGGTTCTCTGGGGTGGTTAAGGTGCTCTATGGCACCTCTTAAGGTTCTACATAGCACCATTTGACAAAGATAAGTGCTATATGGCACTTAATGTGGTTCCCCTATGATTACAAGCCAATGAACCACTTTTAGTGCTATTTAGCACCATTTTTGTTTAGAGTGGATCCCCTTGTGGCTGGAGACTGTCACTGCTCATTAAACCAAATTGTCATGTTTGTATAATTATATCTGTATAAAGTCATATTTATTTGTAAAGCACTTTTTACAATATACATTATTTCAATTTACATTGTTTCAGTATTGTGTATGCAATAATCTTCCAAGTGTCTTCTTTAAAAAGAGACCAACCTGTATATATTTAAGTTCAGATCTATGCTCAGAAAAGGGGGTCACAGTTAGCAAGTTAAAGGCCCTATTTCAATCATTTCTAACTGCACTAGAAAGGTAAATGGCTTTAGTTTAAGATCTAATTCAGCTGGATAGACAGTTCCCCAAAACAGAGTTTTAATTTCAACCCCTATATGTGCAGTAGACAGGGTCTGGCTCCTATACAGGCCTGATGGCGACTGATAGTCACGGGTTCTAATCCCACTGCCTCCCTACCAGCTCTCCTCTAAGAAACTAGAGGGGCGTTTAGTGACTGTCCCCTTTGTGAGGGGTTCATATGGGGCAGCTGGGGGCTCGACTCTTAATTAGGAAGGTAGGGCAGTGAAGAATCTCCGCTTGACAGATTAACATGCACAATTTAACCACTAACCTTCCGAAATGAGCTACCCCAAAATACCTGTGGGTCTGGTTTCAGCGCAAGGGCAGAGGTGACCAGAGATGACACTGAGCAGAAGGGTCTTCATTAACCGAGCGGCTCCATATCTTAAATCAGCAATATCAGTCACCACTCAAAGGACAAACCTGGCTCAGTCTGTGGTTATGTAGTTATTTTTGTTTAATTGTGTTTCAGTTTAATTGGTGAAATTTTTCGCTTCCCTTTTAAATGGTTTAATTACTAATATTATGGTTATGAAACTTTTCTCAGTGTCAAGCACCTGAAGCATTTCTAAGGTGAGTCGAAACTTGAAACTGACAACTTATGACGTCTTGCAGGTTCAAAACCACATCAATGTGTAACATTTTTAATGTTTTCTTTTATGAAGACATCAACTGATTTAGCTTTTTGCGGTCGTTTGAAAGGGATTTGTCGCTGACATCTAATCATCTAATTTCCGTCTGGATTTTTGTGGTCTGTTGCATCTCCACTGTGGCCCTCCCTGCAGCCATCAGCGCCATTTGCACTCGCATGTGCTTTGAAACCCTTTTTTTTTGTTAGCTGTTGATGAAAATAAAAATTAAAAAGACAGTTTCCAGTCTGTTTACAGTGATTAAGTTGTCTCACTTATGATTTATGACGTATTGAGCAATAGGGTTTACAAAGAAGGAAGACAAGGGAAAAAAAAACATGATCACATCTTCCTTTTGCCCAAAGGCTTTTATTGTTTACAGTGTTAACCAAGATATATCGGTGTGTTCATAAGGGCTGGTGCTAATAATTATGAGTAAGTTGTGTAAACAAATTCCACCTGTGCTGGTCATGTGGTCGATACGTTTCTCTATTCTTTTTGAATGTCAGGATTTGATTTTTTTTTTAGGCAAACTGCTACAAGTTAGAGCTGCTACTCAGTCTTCAGTGATTCTTCAGAAATCATTCTAATATGCTGATTTGATGCTTAAGAAACATTTCTTATTATCAATGTTGAAAACAGTTGAGCTGCTTAATAAGAAATCATTCTAATATGCTGATTTGATGCTTAAGAAACATTTCTTATTATCAATGTTGAAAACAGTTGAGCTGCTTAATATTTTTGTGGAAACCACTTTCATTCAATGTAATGCATCCTTTCTGAAGAAAAGGTATTTATTTATTTTTTAAATCCCCTACACTTTTGGTTTGTGGTCTGTGTGTTTGTGGTGTATACACTCACCTAAAGGATTATTAGGAACACCATACCAATACTGTGTTTGACCCCCTTTCGCCTTCAGAACTGCCTTAATTCTATGTGGCAATGATTCAACAAGGTGCTGAAAGCATTCTTTAGAAATGTTGGCCCATATTGATAGGATAGCATCTTGCAGTTGATGGAGATTTGTGGGATGCACATCCAGGGCACGAAGCTCCCGTTCCACCACATCCCAAAGATGCTCTATTGGGTTGAGATCTGGTGACTGTGGGGGCCATTTTAGTACAGTGAACTCAGTCATGTTCAAGAAACAAATTTGAAATGATTTGAGCTTTGTGACATGGTGCATTATCCTGCTGGAAGTAGCCATCAGAGGATGGGTACATAGTGGCCATTAAGGGATGGACATGGTCAAAAACAATGCTCAGGTAGGCCGTGGTATTTAAACGATGCCCAATTGGCACTAAGGGTCCTAAAGTGTGCCAAGAAAACATCCCCCACACCATTACAATTCTGACTCTACCATCTGAATGTCTCAACAGAAATCGAGACTCATCAGACCAGGCAACATTTTTCCAGTCTTCAACTGTCCAATTTTGGTGAGCTCTTGCAAATTGTAGCCTCTTTTTCCTATTTGTAGTGGAGATGAGTGGTACCCGGTGGAGTCTTCTGCTGTTGTAGCCCATCCGCCTCAAGGTTGTGCGTGTTGTGGCTTCACAAATGCTTTGCTGCATACCTCGGTTGTAACGAGTGGTTATTTCAGTCAAAGTTGCTCTTCTGTCAGCTTGAATCAGTCGGCCCATTCTCCTCTGACCTCTAGCATCAAACAAGGCATTTTCGCCCACAGGACTGCCGCATACTGGATGTTTTTCCCTTTGTAAACCCTAGAAATGGTTGTGCGTGAAAATCCCAGTAACTGAGCAGATTGTGAAATACTCAGACCGGCCCGTCTGGCACCAACAACCATGCCACGCTCAAAATTGCTTAAATCACCTTTCTTTCCCATTCTGACATTCAGTTTGGAGTTCAGGAGATTGTCTTGACCAGGACCACACCCCTAAATGCATTGAATAAACTGCCATGTGATTGGTTGATTAGATAATTGCATTAATGAGAAATTGAACAGGTATTCCTAATAATCCTTTAGGTGAGTGTACATATATTTAACCATGAAAATGATTTTTTACCAGGTATGCACAATAAATCAGTGACCTTGTCAGTATTGGCATCTATGTTATGTATGCATCTATCCTAGGATAAAGATCACTGATGTTACTGATGTCCCGCCCTCCTCCAGACCCGCTGTTCATCCTGAGGGGTTCAGGGGCCGCAGTGAACACCCTTCACTTCTGCTGTGGTGGAGATGGACCACCATTTCTCTACTCTGGGTTGGTGCCAACTTCAACCTTCAACCTTTTGGGTGCCTTAAAACTGTCATGTTTATAGTAATCTTGATGCTTGTGTGCTTTAGGTCAGGTAAAGGTGCAATCCATGTCTGGAACCTGACCACTAGGAGAGCAGAACATGTTTTAGAGAGCCATGCTGGGAACTCTGTTATCTGGCTCCACACCTTCAAAGACAGCAGCAGCAGACTCATCAGGTAGAGGAGAGGGGGTTAAGGCCCTGTTTACACCTGGTATTAAGATGTGTTTTTGGTAGATCGGATCGCCTTTTAGAAATCCGGAATGGTGAGAGAACTTGGGTCTCAAGCTGACAAAGTTTAAATCCCGTCTGGCTAGCGCACTTCCCATAATGTTTACGTATTGTTAGTAGGCAGAGAGTTGGTGGATTTTTTTGCTGTTCGAACACTTTCGACCACATGAGCGTTTACACTATGAAAGCAATCCGGTCTAATGCGTTTTCGACTACCTCTGGAATTTAGAGCCATCCACTTGTGATCCGATCGACCAAAATGCATCTTAATACTAGGTATAAACAGGGCCTAAGATGTGTGTCACCCTGTAGCCTATCAAACTGCATCATTATTGTCATGTGACCATCTAAAGCGCATGCATCAAATATGTTAAGCTGTGATGCTCATGCAGAAGAGACTTGGACTGTGGCCTCCACTTCAAATCTGGACTGTGTGTGGATCACTTCCCCCTTCTCTGTTTTCTATTTTCAGTCCCCTCTCTCTACTGTCTTAGTCTAGACCAATATCTGGCCAAACTGGTTCAGTTCATTTGTGATATTCAGTGTGATTGCTAAAATGATAGGTTTGTGTTTTTGTTCTGCTGTGCGTGTGTTTGTGTCTGTGGCTGTCAGTCAGGGTCGAGACATGCGGGTGTGTGTGTGGGATCTGTCCGAAGACCGCAGCACAGTTACGGATTCTCTCCTCACGGGCAGTGTGGGGTTCAGTCAGTGCTCTCTGCTGGAGTCCCGGCCCGGATCCGCTCTACTGGCCCACCCCACAGAACATATGGAGGAGGTGAGTGACTGCAGAGATAATAGCTTCATCACACACATCTCAGGACAGTGCCCACAAACACTTCGGAATAAATTTAGTTGCTTAAGGAACTGTCATCAATAGTTGGATTTTAGCCAGTGACCAATAAAAAGATTCTATAATTCAATGGCAGTGGCAGTTCTAGCTTGCCCTGGGCAAACCACACCTTCTGTACATATTTCTGTATATTTTTTAATTATTACAAATCGATGTTAATAAATAAATCCCTAAAACTGCACAACAAACAGTCATGGCCTAATGGTTAGAGAGTCAGACTGGTAACCCAAAGGTTTTGGGTTCGATTCTCAATACCGGCAGGAAATGACTGAGGTGCCCTTGAGCATGGCACCTAAACCCCAATCACTCCCTTGGTGCCGCAGCGAAAATGGCTGCCCACTGCCCACAAATCTTACCAAACCCAGACTTTTGAATGGTAGTGTATGTTTAATTAATTAACCAAGCAGTTTCATATATAATTTAATATCAGTTTTCTAAATAGCTAAATATCGACCAATAACCAAGCATTGCAGGTACTGTATGTCAAACCACCACTAGTTAGAATTATTTTAATCTGGTACTACTGTAATTTTGGCAAGTGTTATGACTTTAATTATTTTTCAAATCATGTTGATTCTAGTTGGTAGTGGTCATTTTAGGTAAGATTCAGTCTGACCGTAGGTGTGATTTGTGCAGTCAAGCAGAAGACGGAGAGCAGAGAGTGTGAGTTCTGCTCTGTCCTGGCTTTTAATGCATCCAGATTCATGTTTCACTGTTCAGTCTGCCAGTTACTCACTTGAGAGAGCTTGAGCTGTCACTCGATCCACATTTACCATGCTTCAGCTACCAGCATCCCTGCAGCCAGACCTAACACAGAGCTTCAATATTGCTGTTATCCTCGTCCTTTTCCCTACAATGCTCCAAATGCATCCCCCTTCCTCTTTATTTCATCACTCCATGCCCCCTGCTACTGTTATATTGACTGTTATATTGAAACAAAACCGAACTAGATCGCTTACATTACAATCAACAAAGCTGACGTCAGTGTAAGCGGTCGATGCTCCAACCCACATTTTCCATTTTTGTCACATTGCAACATTTTTTCCCTCATCCAGCTGAGAAATAAAAATCAAATGTTTTTACTGCTTCCCTTTTTATTTTATATATACTGTGTGTGTGTGTATATATATATATATATATATACATATATGTATATATATATATATATATATATATATATATACATATATGTATGTGTATATATATATATATATATATATATATTTACATGATATTTATATAATTTAAATACATAATAATAAAAATATGAAATTAATAATATGAAATTAATAAAGTTATAAAATGGATAAAGTAATTTTTGATATTAAGTGTTTATTACGGAAGCTTGGTTCCGTCACACAATAAAACATTAAAAAGGGAACTGTGACTTTTTATCTCACAATTCTGACTTTTTTTCTCACTATTGCAAGTTTATGTCTCGCAATTCTGACTTTATAACACACAATTGTGAGTTTATATCTCGCAATTGACATCTTTTTTTCTGTATTGAAAGATATAAAGTCAGAGTTGCGAGATATAAAGTCGCAATTTTTTCTTTATTCTGTGGCGGAAACAAACTCCCATAGTTTAAATATCTACCATTTTGGTGAAAAAGGGGTATAGGAGCATATATATAACTTGATATGCAATGTAGTGTGCACTACCCAATGTACTCTTTTCCCCATAGTGCTCAAGCATATGGAAACATTAGGTCTGGCATTTACAGCACTCTTACATCCCCCTCCCACCTTGTACTAACTAATGAAGGCCTTGTCAAAAGCCTGTCAAGGTAATAACCGTCACAAGATAACTGCAGGCAAACTACACCACTATACGTCTCTTAAAACAAATAACAATGCTGCAAGGCATGCTGGGAGTCCGGAACTCGACCTCATCTGTGTCTTCCGGTGTTTTTGGAGGCTTTCATGTTTAGCGTTCCAGTGAGGCTGACAGTGCAGGGCTTTAATTAATAGACTCGCGGTTATTTATCGACTCTCTCTCTCTCTCTCTTTAACCTGGGGGGATGAGAGCTGCCCTTCTCTACTGTTTATAGTTACAGGCGTAAACACATGTAGAACGTGCAGATGTGTCTTAGTGTTAAAATATGAATTGGTCTGAAGTCAGAGATGTTAAATTGAACTTGATTAGAATGATTCTTAATCATGGCTGCCTCTGCAATCAGCCTAAGACATATGGGCCTGGACCAGTTACTCAGGGGTTATTACATTGAGTGCATGTCATATACAGTGACAACCCCAGAAGCATTTGGACACTTAAACACCATTAAAAACATTTTAAAGTCATTCCATTAGATAATATATTAAACCAAGCACACTTGTTTGTCACCAAAAAGTGTTCAAAATTGAGATAAAGTGGATAAAGGCAACTTTCTGGGTGTCAAACATTACTAGATCATGTTCATGGATAATGTGATGAACTCCACCTGTGGCTAGTCCTGTGTGAACTTGAGGAGAACTGACTTCATACATCCACTAAAAATCACCTTGAGGCCAATTGTATATCATCATTCATTCGCAAATGCCTCATGTTTTGATATTTTGTTGTTAAATGCAATGGCATTCTGACATTTTGGGCATTTTGAGACTATCTGTATGCATGTTCACCAATGCTCATCACACCATTTTTAGGTTGTTAGTCAGAAACATTAGTGGGTCAGTTACTTATTATTATTATTATTATTATTATTATTATTAATAATGATCGTGGCCCTTCTGTGTTGGAAACTGTTGTGTTTTAAATCAATTGCCTCTGTTTGGAGTCCAACGAGTCGAGACAGGCAGAGCGCAGGAAAGTGGGAAGCTGCTGGCAACCAGCCCAATGTTGTCTGCACTCGCTTACCACCTGTGAACATGCATCATGGCAAACTAACAGGACAGTTGTCTCATACACATCTGTGCGGTGCATTCTTTTGAATATAGATTATTTGGAGGGTATCACTAATTTTAGTCTGGATGTGCATTCAACTTCCAGTATTTCAACATTACATTAATAGTGGTGACTCCCGTAAACCTAGAAGAATTTTTTCTTGGGAAAAATACAACACTGAAAAAGATTTGAAGCTTTTAATCTGTATCATATTTTTTAGGTGAGCGTGGTGGAGATGAGGAGCTGGACTCCAGTGTGCACTCTCAAACCAGATTCAAAGCTGGGGATGCTCATGTGTATGAAGATGTGGCAGGTAAGAGTCACCACACTCCGCTACATATGTCCGGAAGTATGCTTGGGGAAAAAAATTACTTAAATCAGCCACCACTTTATAAATTATGGAGAATGAAAGTGATTTGTTTTATGTAATGCTGGCATTATTAGTCTATTAAAATTTTCATTAACTTTAGATTATAAATCTATAAATAAATTAGGTTTTTTTAACTGGGAGTATACTTAAAAGTTTACTTACTTTTTTTTTTGCACTGTTGAGGTTTACTGGATTACTTGCACCATTCTAATGTTAAAAAAAAATTACAGTAGTTATAGTGCATTCAAGTCATGTAGAAAAGATTGTTTTCACGGGTTGAACACTCATGAGCAGCACCACAATGTCGTAAATACAAGTGGGAAGCTCTTGCTTTTCCCGAGTTTACGAGTTGGGGTGTCAGTATATATACCACAATAGGTATGTATAGGTATAGGCATTTAGCAGTGACTTTGTCAGGCTTTTTTATTTACAACAAATAAAGCTAAATGCCTGCACAAAATATTATAGCATTTCAACAATATAATGTGTGATGATAAAGTTTAGTGGCTTAATAAAGTAATCCCCATCCCCCACTTTAAAAGCAGCGTCAGATTTTCCCAGGTTTGTAATAGTTGTTGTTTTTAATTTCGGCATTGCCAAGAGTTGCCTTTTGAGGTACTGACAAGTAAACCAAGAGCTCACAGGGCAACTGAGCAGTTGGAAAGTGTATAAAGCAACAGGACTTATCTGATTTATGGATGCGACCTGTCCGGGCTGTTCCTCCCGCCTCTACCCCCCGCTGCACCGTAATCATAGTGTTTGGAACAACTTTGCTTCAGTGCCATATATCAACTGCCCTTGTGTGTTTTGTAAACACAGCTGAAATTTTTATTTTGCTTCCAATAAAGAGACCTATAATTATTTTCCACTGATAATTAATATCTCTTTTCTAGTATTTACGAGTTTTCCGTCTGTGCCCTCAGTTAATCTCAGGTCAGTTGACAGCAAGGAGGAGTTTCCTCGCAGTTAATTGGCAGCGCTAATCAAAGCGCTTGATGAAGACGGCTCTGGCCTCGAGCGCTTTCGGTGGTTGTATCTGTGTTGTAATTCTGTTTGTTTTTCACCAGCATTCCCTCATCCTTTCTGCCTGTCTTGTGTAGACAGTGGGGCTCTTAGTGCCGCCTGCCTCGATTAGAATTGATAATTATGAAGTATTAATGGGGCGCCCCACAGGTAGGTGCTGACATCTAACAGCAGGACCCTGGGCGGCAGTGAATCGCTCCAAGCTGTCGTCTTTCATTTGCTCAGACAGGGAGATCTGTTACTGTCATGCTCAGTTCAGAGGTACCCGTCTACCCAGATGAGGAACCCAGCGTGAACGTGTTAAGCAGTCCTCTCTCAGTGTGGGCACACTTGGCCCGGTCACTTCCCCAGCGGCTGTAACACATTGCTCGCTCCCGGTGTCAATCAATCATGAAGCGGTTGTCTTGTTATCCTCATGATCCCTGCTGGTGCAGACTGCCGTTTCCTCAACCTCACACACACACACACACACAGATGATCGCTGTCCTCCTCACTCTCTTCTCTTTGAACACATCTCCTCCATCATGCTGCCAATAGAACTGACAACAGATTTATTGTCTTTCTTTCTGACTATTGGAACGGATTAAATGCCATATTAAGTAATGCTTTTTTGGGGTTTGGCTTGAGACTCACTTGGCACTTTATGACTGTCTCCCTCTTCTTGTTCTTATAGATCCCCGTGGCTTATGATTGGTTGGTTAGCGTCTCAGCGTTAGTCAGTGCTGTAAGATTAGAGATGCATGATATATTGTACTGATATCGGTGGCTGATATTGGGGATTTTGTTGGCACTTTATTTGGTTACACTTTATTTTAAGGTGTCATTGTTACAGTATAATCATATAGTAATAATAATGACCTACATGTACTGACTATAGGTTTAGGGTAGGATTAGGGTTTGGTTGAGGGTTAGTTGCTTTAAATTATGCATAATTCACCATTATTACTATGGTAAGTACATGTAACATATGTAAAAAGGACACTAAAATAAAGTGTTACTCTTTATTTTACTGTCCTGTTCCCTATGTACATACTTTGTACTTATTATTGCAATATCTGGGTATTAACTAGGTACTCACCCTGAACCTTCCCCTAAACCTAACCGTTACCCATGTAGTTACCTTATATTACCCAGTACTTTCTTAGGTAAGTAAACTAAGTGCACGTACTGTAAACTAAAGTGCAACCGTGATTTTTAATTTATTTCCCTGTTGATCAATTCAGTGTTGTCGTTAACTAAAACTATTAAAAACAAATTTTAATTCATTTTTGTTCATTGAAATAAAGTATAAATATTAGATGAAAACTTAAACGAAAATGAAAAATGTTGCCTTGGCCACTAACTGAAATAAAATAAGTTTAAGTACTAAAATGACTGAAATAAAAATAAATTAAAGCTAGAGAGAAATATTTAAAAATAGCTAATATAATGACAAAATCACACAAAATGTAAGCTGAAAATATAAACTGCAGTCAATTTTGGATATTTAATTGTTTACAGTAGTTCTTTTTTTAGCACTCAAATTATGCTTTGTAATTTTCTAATGGGAACATTCATTTATAGCTTTTAAAACTATGTATTTTTAGTGGGGTTTTTTGCACAACATAATTTAGAATTTACCAGTAATTGACCAATTCATAATTATTTGATTATTATGGTCAGTTTTAGTATCATCACTTCCTTATTTTACTTGCACTTTACATATTAAATTTGCTTTAACGCTTTAATCATACTAAAATTGTACCAGTCCATTGTGAAGTTGAATAGGCAGATAATGTAATTGTAGCTCAGCTTCATCCAGCTTATCTACATATAGCTGTTACTTGGATTACTTGGACAGACAGATAGAATATAGATCGACTAAGAAAAAAAGAGCCCCTCTGGTGTAGCTTAATTATAACTGCACATGCAAGCCTACTGGGTGAGATTGGACAAGGCCTGGTGGCAGAGATGCAGTGATGTTGGTGAGAAGGAAATGGTCCTTTACAGATATCCATCAAGATCCCCCTGACATCACCCTCCACCAGCTCTGCTCCATATGTCCTCGTTTCTTTGGACTCCTCATTATAGCCCCGTAAACCGCTTTCGCTTTCATCAGCGTGTTGCATATTCTAGTAACCCTGTCGCACATCTGTTCGCCCTTGTTCAGGTGTGGCTTACACGCACGCCACCCACGGTCTTTCACACGACTTGACCTAGAGGAGCTCCTCTCTCCCGGTCTTCCTTTGAAAGCCCCCAGAGATGCGAGGAGGGTCTGTGCCGGGATCAACTCTGTGGTTTCCCACTCAGCGGGGGCTTCGCTGGTGCATGGCGACTTGTTGCCATCCAGTGGAACGCCACCGCTCTCCTCTCCTCCCCTCCGTTCTGTTGTGGCTTCAGTCTGGAGCATCCATCTGATGCAGCTGTTGGGATGATGAATCTTTCCCTGAAGCTCGAGTCCTAATCCGGCTAAAGCGCCCTCTTGTAGACCAGCCATGGAGGATATAATGAATTAGGTGTCTACCCAGGGTTCCATGACCCTTGACCTGTGACATCATCAATCAGGGAGCACCTACACTTAACTGAAGTGCAGGGGCCAGAGGGCAACAGACGGTAATGCTTAACAACTGTCTATGAGGCTTGGGGATTGATTTCCAGTTGTTTTATTTTTTATTTCATCCTAATACACTTTGCCGGTGATGTGTTTACATGGCATTCGTGATTCGAGGGGGAATTTTGTTTAAGCGTAGCAGGAAAAAGAAATATACTGTGCAAAGAGAGGACGGTCTTTGCGAAAAAAGACGTGGCGGAGAAGGGGGAAAAATGAGTCCCGACTTTCGGGCCCTTACACATATGGAAATAATTTTTCCCTTGCCAGCTTTGCCTGTACCAAGTACACTACACATTGATTTGTAAAGATTCCTCATCCTTCTGTAGGTAAAAGCCAAAGCGAAAACAGTCTGCCACCTTTTATTTATTTGATTAATTTATGAAATTTTGTTGTTTGTTTGTCTTTGGCTTTGATTCTTTTTTTATATCATTGAACATACACTACTGTTACAAATTTTTGGGTCAGTGAGATTTTTGAACAAGGTCTCCTTATTTTATCCAAAATTCAGGAAAAAATTAAATGTTGTGAAAGATTATTACAATTTAAAATTAGTGTTTTCTATTTGAATTTAAAAATGTATTTTGTTCCTGTGATGCGAAGCTGAATTTTCAGCATCATTACTCCAGTCTTCAGTGTCACGTGATCCTTCAGAAATCATTCTAATATGCTGATTTGATGCTCAAGAAACATTTCTTATTATTAACACCGTTGAAAACGGTTGTGCTGCTTAATATTTTTGTGGAAACTGGTACTTTTTTCAGGATTCTTTGAATATAAGAACAGCATTTATTGTAGCATTGTGAATGTCTTTTGTCACTTTTCAGTTAATTGAAGTATTAATTTCTTTCAAAATCATACTGACTCCAAACATTTGAACTGTAGTTTAAGTATGTATTACAGTGTTTCTTGTTTCTAAAAAAAAAAAATAAGATAACCCAATAACAAGTGTTTTTATTGTGATTGATGCATACACAACGTAGTGTAAACCAAGTGTGGTAAATGGCACTGCTGTGTTGTCACTTGCACAAGGAGATGAATGATCTTGTGAAGGAGGGGTGTGTGTGTGTATTCGTTGTGTATCTGAGAAGGAGAGGGGTGAGAAAGGAGGGGAAGGACACCTCCGTTGTAAATCTTGCTGTGTAGACAGCACGCCTGCAGCTCTGTTCTGAGTTATGAGACTGTAGGCTTTTATCAGCTCCTTCATTCTGCTTTTATCCGCTAAACTGATTTATGAGACAACATACTGCGTGTAGCCGTGTAGCTCGAACGCTTCTCCTTGCAGATAATGAGCACCTCGGAGGTGCTGTAAATCTGAGTAAACAAACAAGCACATGCACCTGAGCTGTCGCTTTTTTGAGGTTAAGTGAAAAAAGGTCCGAGAGTGTTGCAGGAAGTTAGGTCACGTTGATTGTGGCGGTATAAAATGGCCAAAAAAATAAAAAATAAAAAAGGGCTCAGAGCGAAGATTTGTAGTGACGCGTTCAAGCAGTTATAGGTGTTAATGCAAATATTTTTCAGATACTTTTCTGTTTATGGTTTGCAAATATGTCTGGCTACTTGTCTGTTCATTCACTCACTAGAGCTGTAGAGTAGGGCTGGGTGTTATTGGCCACAAAAACAAAATATTTAATATCTCTCTGTTTATGTATTTGCTCTGAAATGTTGAGCAATTCTTATTTTATTTTATTTCATTTATGTATTGTATATCTAAAAAAAAATTGGGGATGGGTGATATAGCCAAAGATTCTCTCTCTTTTTTTCCCCAACTATTTGATGACATTTCATATCTCCGTATTTGCTCTAAAATGTTGAGTATTTTTTTATTTATATATTATATTTTAATTATTTTAATTTTATTTTATATAATGTTGATTATCCACACTGTTTTAACTAAATTAACACAAGGATGAATATTTAATCATTTTTAATGCAGAAACTGTGCTATTACAGTGATATTCACCTACATATATTTACTAAAATACTTTAAAGGTTATTTTATTGGCGATGAATGCTATATATGTACAGTATATGTGTATGTATATATGTGTGTGTGTGTGTGTGTGTATATATATATATATATATAAATAATGAAGCTCTAATGAAGTGTACAGTGACGTGTCCTGTGATTGGCTAAAGGCAGCATCAGATGATTAATGCTGTGGTTCATCAGAGCATGAGCAGTCTGATAACCTCTGATAAACACTGCTGCCATGAGCTTCTGTTTGTCTCTGTTCCTCTCTCTACCTCCCCCTTCAGTATTTCTACACTCCTTTTCTTGGATCTCCATTATTCTCACATGTCCTCACATCTTCTGTTTGTTTCTCTCCATGTAGGCTGATTCTGGTCCGGTTCTGTGTGCCGGGTATGAGGACGGCTCTCTGGTGTTATGGGATGTTTCCCATCGCCGTCCGTTCAGCTGTCTGAAGGCGCATCCTGAGCCAGTCATGTGTCTAGACGTTGATGTATGCAGGCAGAAAGGCATTTCTGGATCTTCAGAGAAGATTCTCCAATCCTGGACATTTGACAACCAGCAAAACCTTCAGGTTAATTTAACGTGAACTCATAACTGAGCCTCACAAACTTTTCTTATTGAGAACTTTTCATCAGTGAATGTTTTTTCAGTGAAATTATCAAAGGCCCTGTTTACACCTGGTATTAAGATGCGTTTTGGTCGATCAGATCACATGTAGATGAGGGAGACCGATTCCCGTTTACACCTGTTTTTTAATCGGTCTCTTTTGTCCACTTTCAACCACTTAAAGGCGAGGGTCTGTGGGAGTGTAAATGTATGGACTTTTTTTTAGATCTTTTGATCTAATGGATCAAATAAGATCAAATAAATAATGGATCAATAAGCTCACGGAAAAACATACAGCGAGCATCAGCTTTTGTTTATGTTCTGATAGCTGCAAGACCACGCCGAACAAGGTGAGTGTGTGTTAGAAATCAGGAATGGTGAGAGAACTTTGTGCTTGGTACGTTTTTCATCTTCAAACCAAACTTAGGTCGTCTTTAGTCGACAAAGTTTAAATCATGTCTGGCTACTGCGCTTCCCATAATGTTTACGCATTGTCAGCAGGCAGAGAGTTGGTGGTCTTTTGTGGCTGTTCGAACGCATTCAAACACATGAGCGTCTACACCACAAAAGCAATCCGGTCTAATGCGTTTTCGAATACCTCTGGAAGTGGTCGAAACATGACAAGCTTAAAACTTTTAGACCCCGTGTACACCTGTATTTAGCGTCATCCACTTGTGATTTGTCTGACTTTTTCTTTTGTCTGATTTCACCATGGTCTTGTGGACTATTGGTTAATGGTTAAATAGCATTAATGTTAACCAATATGGAAATGGCTATTTATGCATTTTTTTTAGGATACTGTTGTAAGTAATATAGCCTTTCTAAAGCCAAACTTTCCAATGGTTAATGCAGTTATTTAGTTAGTTATTTTTTATAAAGGACAGCAATAATCACAAATTATTTTACATTTTGAAAAGAAGCGTTAGCATTGGGATACGTCTAGATGCTCTCAAAAGTGAACTTGACCTTCAGCCTCAAAGTTCGGTCAAAAAGCCTTCTCAAAATTTGATAGCATCAATATTTGAACAGGATATTTTAGTCCTCACTTTAAAAAGTTACATTAAGTAAAATGGGTTGGGAATGCCTTTTCAGTTGCAAAATGATAATCATAGCAACATGTTGTCGTTTCTTTGTCTTTTGTAGATAAGAAACAAGGATGCCAACAGTTTAACCCATTTAGTGTTGGCTGTTTTTGGCCAAAGTAATATTAGCGACTAGAGATGTTTTTATTATTGTCCGTCAGTTAATAGTAAACTGCCATCTATCCAATTTGTAACTGGTTGTTCAGTTCGGTTCTCTGCAAAGATTTAATCCAAATTCAGTTGTCGCTCCTGTAAATAATCAAACAAGGTGTGTGCAGAACGATTTAAGGCTGAAATACACTACATGAGTTTTAAAATCTGCACAGATTTTAAAACACTGGGCATCATGCACTTGCCAGGTTTGGTTACAGAGAAAAACAGGACGTCATACACTAAACAACCCAGGCTCATAAGTTGCTTTTTGCACAAAAACTGTAAGGAACGGTTCCAGTTATATTTCCACTTGAGCTTGGTTCAGCACGGCACGATTACAAACCGTTCTCGGCCTTGCCAACTCGTCCAGACTTCAAATCGCAGCAAAAATCTGAACAAATGTTGTGTAGTGGACAAGTGAACAGTATTGAGGAGTGTATTTAGCAGGGGTGTGTACGTGGCCATGTAGACACACACCTCCTGATACACTTGGAAAGTATTTGGCTAGAATTTGAAGTTTCCTCATGTCTGTTGTATAATAAATCAGTCTCTTTTACTTTAGATTGGCAACTCTCTGCTACACTCTGATGTCATACTGTAGTTCTAGGCCAGATTTTCCCCATGACAAAAACATCTCTTCTCCCACAATACTGTGCGCACACAACCGCTTTTATATTTATATTTACACAGCATTCTTAAAAAATGAGCACACACCAGAGCCGTGTTTTATCTTGCATAACACTTTACTCATCTGAAAGGTAATGCCTCATTAGCGGCCATATTCTCGGCTGATTTCAGGGTCTTACAGATTCAATATTTCATATTCGGCTAGAAAATCTGTGTGAAAAAGCTCTGATATACAACACTCCGGTCCTGTGCATGGATTGTTATTCTTTCCAGCGCCTTTTACACATGAATGGGTGAATTAGAAATATTCCCAAACCTTCCTGCCTATTTTGTCTAGCACGCAAAATGTATTTGCAGTAATAAGAAGCATTTATTCACAAAATAGGATCTGTATCGACGGTTCAGTTGATTTTGCACGTCGAAAAAAATTTGATTTAAAATGTAATTCTTGGCGAAGAGGGCCTAAAAAAAGAGGAGCTCGGAAAAGGAGTCTGCCGGGGCTTTTAAATTACCCCGAAGTGCAGCGCAGTGTGACGTCCAGACAGCCGCTGCGAGCTCTTCCCACAGACGTATTTTTGTGTGGCGGTAGAGCTGGGGGTATCTGCCGGGTGGCTGCTCCTCTCGCTCGCCCCTCTTGACGAACGACCCGCGAGAGGTAATAAAAACATCAGAACCTCGCAGGCTGCTAACCAAACAAAAAACACATCTGCAATAAAAGGAACAGTAGTTCACAGTGGGAAGCTCTACGAAAGGCTGAGAAGAGATGAAGCAACAGGGTCTGACACCGTCCGACCTTAACACGCTGCTGAAATGCGCACGCTGCGGAAAACGCTGACACCACTCTATCAGCATCATTCATTTTCCTTTCTTTCTTTCATTTGTTTCTGTCAAAGTTTGAATTTTGAAGAAAATTCTAATTTTGTCAATTTTGTCATGTACAGTATTTTAGACCGTTTTACTTTGACTTAGATGCTAAAATGGTATCTAATTTTAGTTGATAAAAATAGAATTTTAGTTTGAGAGAGTGCAAAATTATACCAAATATTCAACTATTTTATTAATTATTTGCATGTTATTAATGTTTAAAGCTTAAAGTATAATTTAACCAAAAAAATTGTTTTTTCAATTTCAATTTTCAAATTTTTTTGTTGGACACCAACATATCCGCATATTTTTATTATATTTTGAGAAGAAAGTAAGTCATACAGGTTTGGAATGACATGAGCACGAGTAAATGTTTGGGTGAAGTATCTCCTGAAATAACATGAGTACACTTTTGTAATACAATGCTTTAGTTATTGATAAATAGTGCTTTAGTGTGTTGTTACAAAAAGAGCATATTCGCCATGCAACTTGATCATTAGCATGTAACTTATTTCAAGTTTACTTGTGTATTTGCGTCATTTTGTGCAGATGCAAGTGAAGTTACATTTATGGTGTGTATACCTTTAAAGTTTGCGATCAGTATCAAGTAAATTCAGTCTTAGTGGGCATAACAAGAGACTTCTTTTAAAAACATTAAAATATCGAACCGAACCCAAACTTTTGAAAGGTAGTGTGTCTCTGATTAATCTCATATCTGTATAGGATGCATTTGGGTGAATTAATTAACTTGATAGCAAAGCGCAGGAGTTTATTCGGTGTCAAGCGGGTCAATTCCTGAAAATATTTTCTACTATTGGATTGTTTTAGACAGTCATATATTCCTTCGGATTTTCTTCAAAAAACAAACAGTGTTAATATAGTGTTGTTTTTTTATCATCCCATTTCTTGCAACAGTAAAAAAATATATATATAGTCATGAAGCGCATTTTCCGTCTCACTATCGTTATCGTTGTGAAATAGAAAAATAAGTTTTAAAAAAATAAATTGATTAGTAAATGTGTAGATAAGAAGCCTTTCAGCTTCGTCATTTTGCACAGAAGTATTCTGTAAGATGGTGTATGTGAGCTGAAGAAAGGGTTGCGGTTTTTATCAAGCACAGATAAACAGTGGTTCGCCTGGGGTGGCCCGCCGTTCCACACTAGCTCATGGATATGATAGCCGTGGTGGTGGAATTCAGCAGCCGCATCTGTCACAGGCTTGACTAAGAGTGATTACGCTCGCGTATCGCTTTGCATGTGTGATCGCAACAGTGTGTGTGATGGCAAAGGCAAGACGTTTGTTGATCAAGATTTGGCTATGGGTGGTTGGCTGCGCTCCTGACTATTGACAGATGTAGACGGACAAGATTTTGGAGGGTGAGGCAGAGATGGTTGTTGTATGTGTGTAAAGATTACTGTAAATCAAGCATGGATGTCTGTGCATGCTGTTGGAGACGTGCTGACAGCACTCACAGGTGGATCTCCACATCTCTTCACGTTCAATCCCTACATTCCTACCGCTCCTCTCAATTAAACAGCCCTCCCTCCTACTACCCATCCTGCACCACACCAGGCTCCGTGCTTCAGGTATCCAGCATCTGTCAGCACTCAACGGCCCTATCAAGGGGTGTTTTGGAATGAGGAAGCAGGATGCTTTGTAAATTCCTTTGCTTTCGTCAATAATATTAGGTATTGGTTTCTCTTTTTTCATGCTCTTGTGCCAACATGTTTTTTGTTCAGGTGTCCACTAGGTGTAATGCCCAATTGAGAGGTGCATGTAAAAAAAAAAACCGCGATTAAAGGCGAAAGGGGTGTGTTGTAAAACACTGTCGCCAGAAAATGCAAACACACCCCTCATCTGTACTGGATTGTCGGGCTCAAGTGGACAAGTGATGATAACTGGTTTCAGGGGATCAGTGTGAAGTCAGTTGAGTCTGCCAAGTCCATGCCGGAGAAAGCAACATACTGCGCTTTGAACATCCCGTTCCGTTGCTGCCAAAAATCAATCGCACTTAGCTTTTTAATTGGCTGCCATGCAGTGCAACCAAGTGTGCACTCATCGCGCACTCGTGTCCCGTTGCATTGCTTCCAAAAATGATCAAGGTTAACTTTCTTTAAAATAAAGTGCTACAGGAATTACGTGTTTTTATAGGCCAAGCCGGAAGTTAGCATCACCATGGTTCCCTCGACAAAAAGCCAATAGGATTTCTTTGAATTTTCTATAATAAAACAAGATGACCAATGAATTTTAAGATCCTTACATGTTTTGTTTGTCAAAATAATATTCATAAACAAACCCAACTTTAATGAAGCCTAAATTTAGGCTTTAAAACTACACCATGTTTGCATATCTTCAACGCCACCAACACTAAGCTTCTGACAACTTTCTGTCTTTATTTAAAATCTACAAGTTGGAAAGTTTGAGTTAGAATAGTGTGTAAGAGCCTGAGGATAATCACAACGGGGCTGTGGAAGCAGACTAGTCAGTAGATGAAGTCCCATTTAGCCACTTGTTAGCAACTGTCCTTTTCAAGACGCATAAAACATTGTAAACCATTGACTTTGGGACGATTGAACTAGAAGTGCAAAAATTCTATTTGATTTCTGGGTTTTAGGACTCATTCCTGTGACGCTCTATTGGTCTTGATGTAGTATAACCAAGTAAATGTGTTGTCCTCCAGTCCACCATTGGGCCTAAGGCAAGGTTTTGAGGTTTGTTTTTGGTTAATCGTCAACAGGACAAGCATATGTGTGTACTTTGCGTGCATAGATGACCGTTTGCTATGTATACCCCATCAGGAATCAATAGTCCTACAGAGAAATGAAGGATAGTTCATAAAGACTGACCTCTTTGATGTCTGTAAGTTCATTGTAGAGGATCTAAACCCATGGAGAATGGATTCCATAAATGAAAGCTAATGATATGACATTTCTCAGACTCTAAAGGTTGTGTTTGGTATGAATGCTTCCATATTGCATTTGAACGAGATTGAGTATGGGGTAGACACACCATTTAAATCCTGCATTTGTGTGAAAAAGCGATAGCCAGCAGTGCTAATTTAGCAAGACTTTTGGAGTAAACAGTTTTTAAACTCCCTGGAATAGTGAAAGTTGTAGGAAAATTCAGTTCATACGATTATCATTCAAAAACGAAAGTGTGGCTATCTGTAAATCATGGTTTTCTAATGGTTATTTCATGATACAGGCCTCGCAGCTCACTTTATAAACACCCATTTACCTTTTTTATCGCTTTGCTGTGACCTCTTAATTAAATTAATGTATTTTCCTGACACAAACTATGGGAAGCATAACAAACACAGATAGACACATTAACCCATCATTATCAACTCTGTAATATGGACCAGATGGGCGTTTAGTTCAGGCATACCAACCTCGGCTCGGAGCGATTCATCTTTCTCCCCCGTCCCTCTCGGCCGCAGCACGCAAACCCGTCTTTCTCCTTTTCCCTTTGTGGGAAAGTTTCTGCTCGCAGGTGACATCATTACCATTCTCCAAAATTTTGATTTGGACTATAATGTGAGTTGATTTCAGATATGAACAAAAGTAATGCTAGAGTCTTGTTTTTGCTTCTCTGTTAAAGAATAATGTTAGGGACGGTTTTACCCGTGCATTCTTCTATCCGCTTGGGTCAGGAATACCTGACTGGCTTATATCTTCCACATGCAGGAGTGACTGGCTCTGATTTTCCAGGCAGAAACAGGAGCACGCCGACAAATTCTTCACTGTCTTCTCTCGCATGAGAGCCATTAGTCTCTCTGGACACCGCTTATGAAGTCAATTTTACGCTGTCCAGTTCGATTCCAGCTTCGGGACCAGATGCCTCCCGTGGAGAGACGGCTCGTACGCTGACGCACACACGTGCGCTTTTCTCCAGGAAATACCTTGAACGTCCTCAAAGGAGAGGGGCCGCAGATAATGAGCTCTCGGTAATACTTTATAATACGTCACATTGTTGCCCATTACCGAGATTTATCTGGTCTCCTGGCCACTGTAGATCACAGAGAGCAAGGGAAGGTAATCTTTAGCCAGAGTTTGCTTCCCTTGCACTGTTGACCAGACCTTTCAATGCAAATGTAATTCACCAGAGACTGTTAAAACAACAAGGCCTTCCCAAACAAAGATTTCAGCGAAAACAGTCCTTGCACGGTGACAAAGGTAACTCACCCCACCTCCAACGCCTCATGCTCCAAACCAAATAGTAATGCGCGTAGCGTTTTGCTCGTGCTTGAATGTTTTACGGCCGATGATTGAGGCGCTGGAGTCGCGCACGGATTTCCTCTGCCAGGTTCAACAGCTATTTAGCCGTTCATTTGCGGCTCAATCATCAGATCAGCCAAAGGTGGCTGGTGGGGAATTGCTCTCGCACTCTGCCCCATTCTTTTTACGGATCTAAATTTGCTCTCGTTCAGGTCATTAAACAACAAGCTCATTTGTTTCTGGTAAATAGTTTATGCGTCGTGCATTTCAACTCTAATCCTTTCTACCCGCCTGAGACGGAAAAGCGTGAATGGTGACAATTAGCGAGATTCATTTCGCGTCTGATATTCAATTCCCTTTCTTGCCATCATGGGCCGTTTGTTCATTAAAGTCCTGCATTTGTCTATTGCGGCTCATTTGGATTAATGTCTGACTTGTGTTCCCTTACAGATGCACGACTCCGTTCAGATGACCAATCCTGGGGTCTCCCAGCTGCGTATCCGTTCCGACGGCAAGATCCTAGCAACGACGGGCTGGGACAACAACATCAGAGTGTTTGGCTTGAAGAAACTGAAGCCACTGGCTGTTCTGCAACATCATACTGACATGGTGAATAGTGTGGCCTTCTCAGACCATCAGGACCCCCCACAGAGACTTTTGGCCGCAGGGTCCAAGGACCAGCGGATCAGTGTGTGGTCTATATATAGCGAAAGTTGAGTTTAAAAGACAGAGGCCCACTTTACCATTTCCTTCAAACTGATTGTTGCCAATTACTCTGACTTTATTTACATACTTGAACGTGGTGCTAATATATTTTTCTTTGAATGGTGAAATGCCTAAATTAGTGGCTGACTGCCATTCTGAGGCGGAGCTTCAACACAATCACATTTAGCAAGACGTTCAGCAGTGTTTGCCGCCATTGACGCGTCCACGTGAACGAGTTCCTTTTGGTGAAATGCTCAAGCAAAAGCTGCTAATATAAACACACTCCATCACCGTGTTTTGTTGCAGTTTGCCACAATGGTAAATAGTTATTTAAACGCGTTTTTTTTTTTTTTTTTGTCAAAGGCAGAGCTTAAACCGTCCTCTCCGATATGTTTGCTTTACCCCAGGTTGATGTGCTTCAGTAGGCGTATTTGCTCTTGAAGTCGCACCTGAGCGGCAAAGTAATCCAGCGCTGTTTTTCTAAATCTGCCTCTGAGTTTAAGATTGCCCTCTGGACTGACCTGCATACATCACACAGGGTTAATCACAAGGGCTCAGGCTTCGCAGACAGGCCTGTTTGTTAGAAAGATTCATTGAGCAAGTTTCGTTTCGTTCTTCCTTTAAGCTCATGAGCTGATGAAGGCGGCTCTATTTTCAGGCTAAAGACTAGGCTGACCTCTGTGTTCGGATGTGGCTAAAAGACAAACTGTTTTTGTATTTATTGCTATTTCTCTGCGAAAACTGGACGGCTCACTCAGCAAAGTAGTTTGCACTTTTTGTTTTTGTTTTTCTTTTGTGTGTGTGTGTGTGTGTGAGAGAGAGAAGACTTGAGGTAACACATTAAGAAAACTGATATCTAGTATTGTTTACACTATTTGTAAATGAGGTTCTTAAAGGGATAGCTAACCCAAAAATGAAAATTGTCACCATTTATTTACCCTCATATTGTTCCAAACCTGTATGGATTTCTTCTGAACCCAAAAGAAGATATTTTGAAGAATGTCAGTAGCCAAACAGTTGATGGGGCCCCATTGACTTCCATAGTATTTTCCCCCATACTATGGACGTCAATGAGGTCCATCAACTGTTTGATTTTCATTTTTTAAATAAATTTGAAGTAGGCATAACCAATTCCAACCAACCAAACTGATAGCCAATTCTTATTCAGATCCAGTTCCATTAAAAAAAAATATTTTAATCACTTTTGATTCTGTTACCAATTTTCAAATGAATGACTCTTCTGAACTGATTCTTTTTAGGTGAATCAAACATGACCAGTGTAGTTTGATTCCCTAATGAATGACTTTTTAATGATTTGCTGTGAAAAGTCATTAAAAGTTCTTTTTTTAAGATATCTAATTGATTTGATTTCTTATTTGTTATTCATGTTTTTGTTGAAATCTAAAGTAATTATTTGTTAACTCTGGCTATACTGAAGACAGTAAATGCGATAAATATTACATTTCTTTCTTCCAAATGTTTCTTCCTGGAAAAAAAAAATAGGAAAAGAATCATTAATAGAACAGTTAAACAACTTGAATTATCACTCGGAACCAGAATCAATGCAATCCTTATGATTACCATCTCTATTCTTACGTGTTCTTCAGTGAAAAAATTTAATAAAGATTCAAACAAAAACTGTTGGTTTTCATATTTAGGCGATAAACATGGTATTTGGAAACTCAACTGATTATTTAAAGCAGACGTGAATATTAGTTTGAAGGTGAATATTCTTGTCAGCGTATATGCGGTAATAATAGCCATCCATGGTACTAAGATAAGTGGGATTTCATGCGTCTCAGAGCGATGGCGGTGAAACTTCAAACGGCCCACAGCCGTTCTGCCCCATAAAGCACGTGTCTCTAGGGACGTACCCAGACTGGAATATCTCATCAGACGGTACAGGAAGCTCGGGGAACTTGGAGGCCATCCTTTTAAAGGAAAAACAACAGCGGGCGAGTCGCCGGTCGGAGAGGAAGACAAAACAGTTCATTTCACAGTCCGCCTGGTCATTAGCCTTCTCCTTGTCATCTGTGGACCCTCACGCACCTTTGTCCATGACCTCTGTAGAGCTTGTCCGATTGGTAATCACTTCCTACTTTTGTAGACTTGGTGGGGGGGGCACAACAAAGCCATGCCAGGGGTGCCTTCCATCCGTTCTGTGAATAAGCACATGAGCGTCTATTGCTGGAGATTTCAGCTTATACCTCCCAAGTCAATAATAGATCACTTAAGCAGTCAGTATAAGCAGAACCTCGACATGGGCCACTGACAAAAACCTGCGGCTCACTGAACAACAGACACACGCCTGTCTATAGCATGAGGGGTCAGAGGTCACCTGACCATTCTACGCCAGCTTAAACAAACTCATAGACCCCCATAACAGACTCTACATGGCATGTTTTGCTGGTGTAAAGATACTCTGGGTTCTTATAGGTGAGACTGGATGAATGGATGTTAGCTTTTGGAAACAAATAATAATCCCAGGTAATCACAGTCTGAGGAAATGGCCCTTTGAATGAGAGAAACTCAACACTTGGTTGTGTTCTAGTAAATTATTTATAAGTTGGCAGGCTCGGTCGGAATGAAACGATTTCTATTGTCTGAGATAAGCACGGGGTGATTTGTTTTTATATGCAGCGTTGATAAATGGAACACAAATTTACTGAGGGAAAAACGCGGGAAAATGTGAAACACGTGCAGTATGGCTGTAGGTAAACATCTTTGCAGGGTTGGTCCACCTTAATTTTTTTTTTTTTTTTTTTTTTTTTAGAGCTGTCTTTGGACGTGCCAAGCCAGAGAAATGTACACAAAAGATATGCTTGTCACAACAGATGTTCCAGATGCGACCCTGTGTCAGATGATTACCAGTTCTTTTTTTTTTAAGCCCATATAGAGTGCTGTTTTACTGAGTTTTTAGTAGGCCGCCTGATAAGAAATGTCCATGTGCGGTGAGTTACACCCTTGCAGGCTTTCAGCATGGACTAATATATAAAACAACATTTATACAATAAAATATATTTTCATTTTTTCTACTAATGTTTCTAATCAGTTGATTCATTGCGACTCTCCGTACACAAAAGATAGATTTGGACAAGCGTTACAACTGCATGATGAATCCAGAACATGGCAGAAGACAAAGGTACAGTTAAATGAGAAACTGGGTCAACATTAATTTGGCATAATGCAATAATGTTCAATGGGAAATGTAAGCATGTTTTATTTTAGGCTAGATGCTAAGAGTCCTTGCAAAGGTGGATGATAGGCTCTCGCGCTTTAGGATTTTTTTATATTGATTTATATATGCCTTTTTAATCAGGCGTCACTTCTGTATTATTGTTTAATATTCAGTGTTGTACAATGTACACCGTGGCCTATGTCATTTTTATCTCCGCGCGTCGTGAGGTGGATAATATAATTCAATAATGCTTTCGAAGTTAAGAGCATGAAAGACCAATAGGCCTTCCTGCAATTTTTACGTTGGCTTTTAGGCCTACTTCATTTTATTTGTGTCTTTGATTGTAAATACTATTATCCTAGATTGAAAAAAAATAATGAAAAAAATATATATCTTCAATTATTTAAGATAGGCCTACTGGATTTAAGTAAAAAAAAAATATATATATATAAATTGTAAACCACCTTTTTGACGATTTTTTGATCGAATTTAAATCATTTTAAATGGTCCATTTGTATAAACGCACTGTTATTTGTTTATTAGCCTACGTTAACACGTTAGTTTTAAAATGAATTATATTATGATCTAATAATCCGAATAGACCTGATTTACCTTGGCCTATACGCAATATTTAGCTATTTTACTTCTTCTTTTTTTTAAATAGCAATGTTGACTTTGTAGCATTACGATGCCGAACGCGTGTGCACACATAATTACTCATGTCACTCTGTGTGTGTGTGTGTGTGTGTGTGTGTGTGCGTGTGCGTTTGAAGCGCATGTATTTCCTCTCAAACAATATTTCCATGCTGAACTTCGCACGCATCATGTTTAAACTTCAAAGACGGATACAATTTTCGGTGCATTCGGACCATAAATAATGAGCATTTTTAGAAGAGGTCATTGTTGGAAACAGCCGTCAGTCGTCATTCATGGATGCAGGTACACAGACTGCGCGACCGAGGGCCCCAGTCGGCCCCTCTCATCAAGGCGAAGCGCTACCAGAGAAAACACAGATGGGTAGACCTCTGACGGAAGAGCTATGGGTCCGGGTGTCCCGGTCTTCCTGATGGGCCAAAGTCATTACCTCTAGCCGGGAACAGGCTCACGCGAAGGGACACAATCCTCCAAACGTGCTCTTCCGGCCCCAAATGTAGCTAGACTAGGGAAACAACATGTGCGCTTCACTTCACAATGAACGAATTGTTAAAAAGATTTATTTACAAATTAGTAGGTTATCAATTTTAATAGCTTTATGAAGAACTCTCTTTGTCATTAGGCCTACGTGTTTTTTGTCAAATTAAATATTACATAGCCTAATACGCCTATCAAATATTTTATTTTGAGCATTTTTTTAATGTTCAAAATAAAACATTATTTTGGGAGGGGGTTTAGGGAAAGATTTAGAAAAAAAACATTTTTTTAAATGTTTAATTTAGTTGTCTATAGCCTAATGGAATTCGACCAGAAATAGAAATACATTTATAATGTCATTAAGAATGCTATTTGGAAACATATTTAGCATGAATAAAATGCGTAATAATAGCCTAATGAAATTCGCGTTCGTGTTGAAAGTTTTTCATTGTTCATTGTTTTTCATGTATTCATTTTTTCCCGTTTTAACGGTCCCCATTATATCACTGGTCCCAGTGCATCGAGTTGTTACCACAAACAAAAAATTATACGACCAATTAGTCGTCGCTCAAATGGCTGGAAACATTGTTTAACCTTTGATACTTCAGAAAGTCGTTAGCTGTCAGAGGTCAAATGGTGTGCAAGCGTTTCTTTCCTCTACCATGGGATTACCTAAATCACAGAGATATAGGCTACGCGCTATATAGGCGAATAGGCTATTTCAATAACGGTTCACTTTTATTTACAGTGGAATTACATAAATACTGAGCAATATCATCTAGGCTATAATATCCTTCTTATATTGTGCATTTCTTTTATTTTTGTAAATCCACTGTTAGTAAGTCGTCTTGTTCATTGACATGGTTTTTCTCTCTAGTTCTTGTTTTCGTTATGAGTCTAAGTGAATTTTCATATAGTTTGACTGAGCACCTCTTTAAAACCTCTTTTAAAAAAAAAGTATAAACGTTTTAAGTAATAGGCTACATATTAAAATTTAGCTGTATTCAACCATTTCATCTGATATTTTTAAACTGATAAATATTTTACTTTTAATGAAATATTTTTTTACTATCACATTAAAAATAATTGTGTTCTGAGGTTGAAATAGGCCCAAACTGACAATATCGCAATTCTCTATGTGGTAATGCATCAATAATTTCTTTCCAAATTAAACATGTTTAAGGAGAACCAACACAATGAGTTGCTTCCCTCTAAGTAAGGAAAGAATTAGATTTGCAAATGCTAATGGAACATGTTTAAAGGTAAAATATTTAATGTTTATTTTACAAGTTCAGCACAGTCATTCTGTTCATTTATTTATTTGAATTGCTGTACGTCAGTGCCACGTTACAAGCTTC